CTAGCGGACTTCAAGTTCACTCAGGCGCACTTGTGGGAGCGAGTTCCCTCCAAGGACCAGGTGATCAAGCGAATCGAGACTTGGAATGGAAAGATCTCAAAGATGGAAATGGATTTGAAGCGCAAAGACGACAACAAGGAGGTGTCATTGGGAACATCCAAGGTATGTTTGGGCGAAATTTGGATTTATTGCTTGGCTGATCTGAGTCTCTCAACCTGTCGTTTTCTTCCTCTTAGATCAACTACATGGATCCCCGTATCACGGTTGCTTGGTGCAAGCGCAATGAAGTCCCCATTGAACGTGTCTTCTCAAAGACCCTTCGTGACAAGTTCAACTGGGCGATGGCTGCTCCCCCTGCATGGGAGTTCAGTGCGGAGATCGGCTTGATGGGCTAGTTATAGTTTGTCGCTTCAGATGCACACAAAGTACTAGTACTCAGTAGTAAGAGAGAGGGGTGAGGGCTTCTCTGTGATCTCGTCAGAATAATCATTCGTCCGAACATTAACAAAACATCGGATTCCGTAGAAGAAAATATAATAAGTGGTCTCTGTTTGGTACCGTACCGTTACTACAGCAGCATTAGATAGAGCAGCTATCAGCTAGCTAGCTTAATATTTAAGGTTAGAGAGGCACTGGCTGGGCAGAAGACACGAGATAGGGTGGCGGTCTCACATCCTTGCAGCACTACATTTGGCACCTTTGAAGCAAAAGGACTCGACTTTGACTTAAATTCTCGATACTACCGTATTGTACCGGTACCTCTAAAGGAGAGAGGAATTGCTTCGTCCTCTACTAGTAGTAACGAAGCAAGTACAAAGAACTCCATGCTTGCAAAGCAAAAACTGTGTCCAATCCAGATTCGATTCATGATAACGTTAGAACAGTGAGAGATACGCTATGTTGGACTTCCGTTTATGATAGTTGTTGTCATTTTCTTGTGTGTTTTTCCTTTTCAAAAAGTTCAGTTCATTCATACCGCAGTCAAAATTACCGTAGGACAACTAGCCTTGCAATCAATCAATATTTTTGTAGAAGACGATGATCCTGCATTACACAACAGCACTAAAGCCTGTACTTGGTTGTTGGGATGATCCAGGTTCTGCATCTGGCACCTTTGTGTATCCCGCTTCTGACGTTGGAGCACTGGCCTGTTGTTGAGCAGCTGCAACAGCTTGAGTGGTAAATCTGGTCTGAAGAATATAGAGCATCAACGCCAGGATGGTGACTTCGCTCGTGTATTTGACCAGGACATAGGAATCCCACCAAGCATGTGAAAAGACCTTTGCCACGGAATGGTGTTGGCGCCAATAGATGCATAAAGTGAGAGCAAAGAGTGCTTCCAGGAAAGCTCTTGTGAAGAAGAATAGATTTCCCGTCACGGTAATCCATACGATTCGTTTGACCTGAGCATCAGTGCTGACTTGATTGATGGCCCCCAAAGTCTTGAGTACGGTTCGGAACCTGTGACTAAATATGGTGATTTCACAGACACAAATCATGCTGACCAATGCCAACAAGCACGCGTTGAATAGGATCATTCCTTCGGTGGTGTAAAACTTGAGTAGGAACAAGACCACATTGAAGACCTCCAATCCTACCAAGCTGGACACCAGTGCGAAAAAGGCAAACATGGGGAGCATTCGGCGAGCCCCGGGATGAAAGTATTTCTTGAGAATGTCTGCCCAATAGACCAAAATCAGAATAAAGATACTAAATAGCGTCAAAGATCCAGCCGTCACGGTGAGTTCGCTGAGTGCCGCCCCCAACCAAGCAGGATGGTCACTGTCCCAGGCGTACACCGCAATGGGTGCATACGATGGTTGCCATACTTTGGAAGGGATCAGAAACCAAATGGCTCTCAAGATGGAAGTGACAAAAATGAGACTGTAAAAGGCCGTCACCACGGTGGTTTCAGCTCCACCTCCACCACCCGCAGCACTGGCGCTTTGACTGATGGACATGCGACGGAATGCCACATAGGCAGTGACTAGAAAGGCGCATCCCAAGACAATGTCAAAAGTGCTCTCGGTAAACGTCTCGCTGTAGGCGTCGGATTGATAGTCGGATGTGGAAGAGGACGATGACTCGTCTCCAGCGCCTCCGAAACCAGACATTGTTCTTGTTCTTGTTCTTGTTCTTGCTGTGCTGTGTTACTGATGGACTGGTGTTAACGCTGGCTGCGGCTACTAGCTAGCTACCGGTATAGCTAAGTCTTGTCGAGTTAGTTGTCGGAAGGGTGCTTTTCGAGGCTACCGTTACTGTTGCGAAAGGGCTGTGGAAGTTTTTGGATCTTTGCTCGTCATCATGGTGCGCCTTCGAAGACAGTCGACGACGTAAAGGTTGTTTTTGTGCAGTAGGGTTAGTGGGGAAAAGACCAATCGAATCGTGCCTTCGCGGGAATGGTCCAGAGACGCAATGAGCCGAAGCTCGACGAGCCAGAGCACTTCAAAGCCAGAGCTTCGAGCGTGAAAACATACTAGTCAAGCAATACGGTAGCATACAGATACAGATTGGACCATGGCGGATACAGGCGACTCGAGTGCCCCCGTTGAGAATGTGGCAAACCTAAAGTTCGGTCCAGAGTTTCAAGAGATCCACGTCCTGTCCAATGCCCAAGTCGCAGTCATCCTTCAGGTTTCGGCTCGATCGGCCGTCAATCGCGATGAGGAACTTAATGAGGTATACCGAAAGACACAGCATTACGTCAACCGATTCAATACCATGACAAACCCAGAAAAGGTAATACAAAAATACCGTGTGAGATTATGGAATAGAATATTATTTGTCCTCACTTCTAGAGGTACTTTCATTTTTTCTTTCATGTTTGATCTGCCACCTCTTCCATTCCATTCAATGTAATTCAAGGACCATCAAGAACTGGTGGACGAATTGGACAATCTACAAGATGCGCTGACGACGTTTCGAAAAGAAACCGATGATGGGGAAGAGCTTGATTTGCACCAGGCAGAAGTGGCGGCACTCATGAACTTGGTTGCCACGGATACTTTGGTGGAGGAGTGCTTGACATTGATTCCTTCCCTGTCTCGATTTCCAGAGGCTGCCATTGACGAAATTCTAGATCTCATTCGAAGCACCATGATTCGAATTGTTTCGTAGGACCGCTGTGATACGGTAGTTGGACGGAAATTAATTAAACTATAAAACAATTTGCAATCGGGAAAGACTCCGTTGTGGGTGTCCCATCCTTACTGGCTAGCTTGGAGAACCAACAACAACGAACTGTCCTACCGGTAGCTGGCATGAGGGTCCTGACGCGATAACCTACATGTAACTTTGTGCTACACTGCACTAATATATCTCCTGTAGACTGGTCCAATAGAGCCATCATCCACCAATTGAAATCATTCGTTACCTTGGTGTCATAGATCTCTCCATTCATTTTTCACATGTACCATCTGCGCGGTGAGCTCTGAGATCAGGTTTCAAGTACTGGCATCTTCAGAAGAGCTGTGAGAGCCATCTACTTCAACCGTGTCAACAAGATACTACTTTACGTTGAATAAGATTTGAGTAGATTGAATTGTGTCTATGATTGCCTCTCGTTTGTTAGCAGCAGCTCTTTGGCCTTCTTCAGTTCATACGGGCTCACATTGGCCAGATAATCTTTCATTGCTGAGTTGGCACTGGAAGAATACTTGTACAGATCTTCCGTGTCATCGTCAGTCTCCTTTAGCAGGTAAGCAAGCTCAGCCTGAAGTGATTCAATATTGGTCAAGATTTCATTCCGTAGTAAGTAGGCAATGCTTTGCTCTGCTTTCGGGGTGGCCCCTCCACCCAAGTACGCATTTGCCCTCTCGGGATCGCCATAGTAAATGTTGTCGGCAAAACGGTTGAACGTTGCTTTAAAGGCAATCTTGTCATACTTTGGTTGTTGCATTATTTTGTAAGCTTCCTTCCAGTCTGTCTTTGTTCCATGAATCAGAGCATCCACCTTTCTCAGCTCCTCTTCCATGCTCAAGATTGGTACCAAGAGGGCAGGGTACTGCTCAACTCTACCTTTGTTTCCAGCATCGCCTGGAGTCAGCTCGCCTCCATATTTGATATCATCTGCTTCTGCTTGCTCCCAAATCCGAATCTGATAGTTTTTAAAACAGGAAAGCATTTATTTGAGTGGTGCAAAACCAGAGATTCGATTGAAATACCAAGGCGGTCCTGTCTTTCTTAACAAAGAAAAAACGCACCTGTTCCAGCAAGGGATTAGTCAACGGATTAGGTTTGAAAAGCTCATCGGCAGCACTGGCACTCGACGGTACAATCAACAATGATGACACTGCCAATCCCAGAAATTGCCGTCTGCTTGACTTGTCGCTTGGATCTCCATGGCCATCACGAGCCATCAACCGTACACAAACTCGACGATAATCTTGACATGATGGAGCAAAAGCGTCGCAGAATACCAGCACACAGAGTGCCAACAGGTACATATAGTGCCTTGGAGGAGAAGCGGCCATCATCAAGTCCAACAGAGGGGCTCGTCTCTTTCTATTGAAAAACTGTATTTATGAGAATTTGTGTAATGGAAACAGTGTCCATGGTGAATGAATCAGCTGCAAGATGGGCACGGGTATGCTGAGATGGCTGCTGCCATTGAGATTCAGAGCATGATGATGAGGTTGTGTTGAGTCTTTCGACTGAGTCATCGCTGCCCGAAAGGTATCTTTGGATCGCGATCCACGAATGAAACCGGGCTCCCAGAAATCACATTTCGTCCTTCCTTTCTCATCAGAGCTCAGAAGCAATGGGTCTTAGCACTGGCTTAGCCTGGCTACCTTGCCGCATCATCTGTACATCTGTGCCTCAAGCTACAAAACCATAGATATTCCAGGAAAATTCTGCAGTAGCACTTGCTCTTATTAAACTTGGGGAGTGTGAGACTGCTCTAATCCTGTACGGTATACGCTCTGCCTGGAGGCTTTATGTACGAATCTTGCATGCATTACGCAATGACTGCAGTCATCCTTTCAACAAAGTACATCAAACCATTATTTCACGCTCTGTGCTTACTGCCCTACGTGCAAAGCACATGCAGGACAGAGATAGCAATAAAAACCCGCAGATTCTGACAATAACCCGCAATTGCTGCTGAATCATCAAGAGTGACAGGATCCATCATAGAAGCGGGATCTAATGGTTGGGCAGTTTCCACGGGTTGAGCAACCTCCGCAGGTTCTCCCACCGCACTAGTACCGGTACCGGTACCGCTGTCGGCTGGTTCCGATGATGTTGCACTGGATGTCGCTTCAGAGTCAGCGGGACCGGTTAGGCTCGTGCTGACAGCAGAATTCTCCATAGCTCGGCAACAACCAAACAAGTTGAACTCCATTACATGCAATTCCACCTTTTGCCGATCTGCCTCTGTAGCAAAGCCACCATCCTGGTTGCAATCACCCATGGAAGCATCTTTCTCGTCAAGCAGCACTTGGCATGTCCTCCCATACTTGTCGTCGGCGTTGAGAAAAGGCCAACGCAAGCCTTCGTTGTTTGCAAAAACCTCGCCACTGCCGCATTGCTGACCTGAGGTCCACTCGAGGCAGGTGGGGATGTTGTCGAGTACTCTGCAGCACATGTAACTTGGCAAAGTGATTGTTATGTTTATCCGGCGAGAAAGGTCCACAAAGTTGCCCTCGTCGTCGCATTTACTTGGAGGTCATCAAGAAATTGCTGACAGGTCGTGCCATCTGGGTCGGTTTGAAAGGGCTCATATTCGACGACGAGAAGTTGATTGGAAGCAAAGTTGCCCCCGGAACATGGGTTTCCAGACTTTACTTCCTCACAAGAGCGTATTGCCTGGACGCTTACGGTCCAGGACAGAGTAACAGCTGCAAAGAAGGGAGATATCCGTGATAGCACTCTCATTGGACGGATGATAGTTGGGCGTTTGAAGGTTTTGGTCGGAATGAAGCTTGTGGCAAAGGTTGCCTTCGATGCATTTTATGTCCTTAGCTGGGGAAGCGTTCTCAACTTGAACGCTTGGCATATGCTCATCATTGACATTTTGGCAAATCAAAAGTAGCGGTGTATGTCTTCAGCACCTTCTCTGAGCCGGCAACATCTACAGTGGTATACCGGTTCCCGTACCGTACCGGTACCACCTTTGAGTCTTAGATCATGGCCACAAATCTCGCCAGTGCATCCGGCCATGAAGTTAGTTAGTTGTCAAAGAACAGCCAATGGCTGGATGAATATTGTGGGCGCCTCGATCCCTGCTAGCCTGGACTTTTCATCTGTCCGGATAAGCGACATACACTAATGTACAGTACACGACACTAAAAGTCACCAAAACCCATCAATTCAGGAACCTATCAACTCAGGTGATTTGAAAGAGCCCTGTCCATGTAGCCTCCACGTGAAGATGCAGCTGGCCCAAAGCAGAAGTACGTACCCATCGTGCTGCGCCACCGCCGGCCGATTGGTTCACTCATATTTCTAAACTATGTATCTTTCTTTACGCAACCGTCTACTTTCTTCGTCACGACAGCATTCTTCACCAAGCAAAGAGCCAGGTGCTTTGGTTTCTTGTGCTTTGGTTTCTCGTCTGGGGCAGTGCGATGATTTAGGCTGCGTTGGCCCGCTTCTCCTCCAACTTTTCCATTGTGCCAGTCTTCAAAAACTCTTCAAAGAGTTCTGCCGATTTCTTGCCAATTCCTGCCACCTTGGTCTTTCCCTTGCCAAGTCCCTTGGCGTTCTTGACGGTGACTTCAAAGTCAAGATCTTTCAAGACACCAACAACCTTGTTGTAGGTACCTCCAGCATTGCTGTTTCCTTCCTTGAAGTAAAGGCTGGAAAGTTCTTTGATTGCCATCAAAAGGGGGCCGTTGGCACTGACTTTGCAGGACTCGGAGATAGCTGCTTCGGCCTTCTGAGCCTTGGCGGCTTTCTTTGCAGTGAACCCAAACTCCTTGGCCAACTTGGTGAGAATCTCGTCATTGGAGGACTCCTTCATCGCAATGAGAATTTGGCCAACATCCTGGCGCAGCTTCTTCTCGTCTTCGGGAAGGTCCAGTGAGCCGTTCGCTTGCAATATTTCGATCACTTTCTTGTTCGTGGCTCGAGTCTTCTCCTTGCTGGAGAAGTCCAACTCAAGGTCTTTTCCTTCCTTGAGTAGCTTTCCGAGGTCACTGTTCTCGTCCACTGGGAGATACAGGAAAAGGCGGTCTGGTTTGTGAGCGGCATATGGATTGCGTTGTGATGGGATGACCTTGACTTGACAGGCAATAATATCCTCTACTAACCTGGCGCACCCTCGACTTCTTCGCCACGAGCTTCGGCTTCCTCTCGGTCCAAAAACGCCACTTCCTCTTCCGATGGCTCCTCCATGTGCCTTTGGCAGAAATGGGAAAACCATTGGTCAGAATGAAACCATGCACCGGGTGCTTGCTAGCAGACACCACCATCTACAATGGGCAGAAGCCAGAGAACGTACCATGGCTCAGCACGAGGAACATTATCAAGGTTGTAGGTGGTAGTGCAAGGGATTCGCACCTGGCGGTCTGTCCCGACGAGCCATAATAAAGCAATGTTGAGACAACATACTATAGACAAAACCCAGACCGGACCATCATTGGCTTCTGACTTTTTGACTGACCTTCGTCGAATCTCCCATTGCAAGTCACCTTGAGGAAGTTTGTTTCATCGATTTTGAGCTTTCCGCCACAGACACCGCAGGGAGCAATGCGACCATTCACCGCTCCATCAATGACCTTGTGCATCTATAACCAGCACGAATGAATGGGAAAAAATTGATGTTCATGAGACAGAATTCCAACGGCATTGACAACTACACTGTATCACCCGATCATAAACCCACCACAGCCGTTTTGTTGCCCTTAAGGATTTGCCGATTCCAGCGAAGGATATCCTTGAGAGCATCCGCGCTCATTTTGTGGACCTATTTATTTGAACAGCGAAAAATATAAAATTAGCAAAAAGACAATGACACGATAGAATATAAAGATACACTTTGTTGGGTCCCTTCCTTACCTCGCCGTAGACTTCAAGCTCCTTGTCGGAAACACCGCCTGTCTTGGCCTTTTTGGCTGGTTTTTCTTTCTCGTCGTCACCGCCAGTTCTCTTTTTGCGCTTTCCATTTTTCTTCTTTTTTCCGTCGTCTTCGTCGGGTTGATTTTGGCCTTCATAGGCATCCTTGAGGGAATCAATGTATTTGTCTCCAGACGATTTTCCCTTTCCGCCTTTGGCTCCCTTCTTGCCGGCCTCTTCGATTGCTGTCACAATTTCGTCCTTTCGGTCGGGCAAAATTTCCTTGTCTGCAAGAGAGAGAGAGAGAGAAAGGAAAAATTCAATGAGAGGCGAACAATGACGGCAATGACGCGCCAAAAATGGACAAAAATAATATCCAATCAAAAACAAAATTCCACGCACCATCCGATGTGTCCTCGAGAAGATCGTCAACAAACTCTTCCACAGACATCGCGAGCTTGCGAGGCAAGGCAAAGCACCCAATGTGATGCCATTTGCACAAGTCGTAGCCGCCGGGACCCTCCGTGGCGATTCCAATGCGCAAAAGACCCTTGTCGATTTTCTCACTACACTTCTTGCAACCGCTGCGGCCAGACTTGGCCAGTTCTATTTTGTAGCTTGCCGGCATGGTGGATAGATAATGATGATTACAAATGGTTACTCTCAACAACAACGATCGAATTGATACATTGATATTCACGTCCAAAGATTGCTGGATGGAAAATTTGTGAGGGTTCGCGGATCAATGGCGCCAAATCTCGTCTGGAAGCATGCAGCGAAGCCTCCTTCCGCGAAAGAATTCAAAGATCCTTCCGATGAATCACGCAAGACTGGCTCGACGCTCGTCAGTCAAATTTCCGGACCGTGGTTCGGGAGCCAAAGGCAGGGCATTATCAAACGCCACTGAGGCCATACTCCAGCTAGTATTTGATGCAGCCAGGTAGGATATCTTGGCATTGGAATGGATTAGATACCTGTAGAGCCATTGGGAACTCCGCAATGCAAATAATGACTTGAGTAATGTCGTCTTGGATTTGCTCGGTGGCTCGTTTCCAGATTTTCCGTCCTGTAGAGAAGAATGAATCGTCCTCCAAAGAAAAGGCAGAATGGAAGATTGAAGTACAGTCGTACAGTCGTGCAGTCGTACCGGTGGGCATGTCCATGAAAAGAGGACAAAGCCGCTTGACCCACACTTATTCCAGCAAGGAAAGATTGTCTCAATCGTGGATACTTCCGTACATCTAACCTTCAGCCAGGTGTCAGCATTGCGAACCCCTTTGGTGAGAACCGAAGCATGCATCAGTGATGCCGATCTTTCCCACCGCTTCCACCAAAGAACACAAAGACAGGCACGAATGCTATTGCAACCATCACCCTTTCATCCATAAACAGAGGAAACCAGAAGAGAAAGCAACATTTGGTTTCGAGAACAGAAGAAAATGATCCGTCACACCGCAGCCCTTTTACCCCGTCGAACGTTGGCAAAGGCTCTGACAGCCAGAGCGTTCGTCACCAAATCTCCGGGACCCGATCCACTGGAAGTGCTTCGAAAGGAATGTGTCAACCGTCGATTGTGCACCGTTGAAGGATACAGAGCGCCCGGAGTTCATTGGGTGTTCTCAGTGGCCATGACGCCAAGAGATAGCGATGCGGCTCCCAATCTTCGAACCATAGGGATTCAACGTGTCAGTCCTGCTGGCATTGATTTTGTCATGAAAAAGGGATGCAAGACGGCCACCGCGATTGCTGAAGAGCACCCTCTGGCTATTCTGTATTCGCAAGGAAAATACGCTCCTGGTCAGTCGGCAGAACAATGGCGGGGAGAAGGAGTCTGCAAATCATTGCCTCTACAAGAGCTATTGGATGTGCTACCCCATTATACCCTCACAGGAATGCTAGTATCGAAGAGAATCGAAAAAGAAGCTCTGGAAGCTGATGATGACAGTCGTGGTGATGTTTCGGTTGTAAGTTCACAATTTTTGGTCTTTCAGAGGGAAAGTTGTGAAACCATTTTATCTTAGTTGGCAGGGTCGACGATTGGATTCACTTTACTTCAATTCATCTTATCTTTTTTTGTTCGCCCATCTTTTTTTTCAGGATCGTCTGGCTTTGATGAACAGAAGCCATGTGACGGAATTAACGCAAAAAACAAGACTTGAGTTGGAAAACAACGAGGTTTCCGAAGAAGAATTGGAGAAAAGCATTCAGGTCAGAAAACAGCCCCATGATACTATTTTTATCTCTCTTAGCTCTCTTGCTGTGTCTGGGCGTCTTCTCATGCACTGGGATCCTTTTTTGTTAAACATACAGGCCTTTCGATTTTTGCCAGATCGGTTGGAACGAATGCATGGTGGACCAGACTCCATTTTGTGGGAGAGATGGGAATGGTTGAGGTCGGCTTCTGCTGCCGAGTCGGAAGGTGCCATCCCATGGAACGATCCAATGCATCTGCTGCCACACTAGCTAGCCAGCTTGCGAGCTCCGTAGTCTCCATTGTGGTCTCATTCGTCCACACGAATTTCCATTATGACACAACAACTTGCAAACAAAGACTCTCGTCAATCTCTGCCAATTTACTCAGCACATTATACGTAGTAATACTAGCTCAATGGCACCAATTTGAGGGCATTCTAGAAGCATAATTGCAGCTCAACACATTTTCATGATTCTTGCTGCTTGCCGTGGGGCCATCTTGTGAATGTCATATGTTCCGACAAAAGCTTCATTGTGCTCCCCAGTTGATCGTCACAAATGTTCATGGTCAAGACAGCTGTACTGGTTTGGTTCTATTTACCTGTGCTATACTTTCGACAACTGGGGTTGTCACTGTTTTTCCATTGCTGTCCAGGGGGTGATTTACAGTTGCCGTAATGCACGAAGGAGAAGACCAGAAGAAAAGTATGTAGCTCGGATACATACATCACGGACACATTTACAAGTTTACTGGCTACTCTAACGCTTCTCCCTAATAGCTTGTCGTCACGATGAGACTTGTATCAGTTTGTGTGAAACTGTTCTGGGTGTACCAAGGTATTCAACCTAATGACTTCGGGACACATTCGAAATCATGTCACTCCTTTAGTTGGAATATTCGACCAACTTCCGTGACGGGGTTCTGTAGTAGTGATGCCCCAGGTGCAACTGCTAACATGTCGGACCAATATCCCATTTTGTAGTCTGGAGAAGGAAACCGATCCTCCACTTGATAGTAGTACAGACAATTCTCCCGAAAGTTGTGCATGGGTGCTTTTTCCCTCACAATTGCCCTCTTGCCTTCCTTGGGTGCTTTGATATGAGCCGTGCCAGGCAAGGCGTAAAGGGTGTAGCCTGCCTCATGCAAGGCTTGCAAGATAGAGTGTGCCACACAACTTCTCTTGTGGACATCCCCAGTGCTCAACAGGTCCATTCCTTTGGGCCAGTATTCGAACATGACGTAGTCGACACGACGTTGCAGAAAGACGGAGTGTTTCAACCCGTCAAATACGCTGGGCTCGTACCCCTGTGTGTCCACTTTGAGGACAAAGAGCTTGTCGTGTGAGTTCCGTGGCATGAATTCATCTATCAAATCATCCAAGCGAATGGAATCCACCTGAATGGGTGATCCCTCTGCTGCTTGCATATTCCAGGCATCGTACGTGCCCACGTGATCTCCTGTGGAATCTCCTGCGGAAAAGGTGACTTTGCCGGGGGATGCCCCTGCTGCCTTGTTGTACAGATGAATCCTTGTCTTTACATCCTCAGGTTCCATTCTGCGCGCTTGTGCAATACGCTGAAAGGCGCGTGGAGATGGTTCAATGCAGTGTGCCTCAAGTCCCTGTCGAGCGGCTTGGAAGCATTGCTTGGGATGGAACATGCCAACCTCCATGGCGATGAACTTTGGAGCCGTGGTTTGTTGTTGTTGCTGCTGTGCTTGATGATTCTTCATCAACGCCACTGCCTCTTGTAATAGACTCTCCCAAATTTTTTCTGCACTGATGGAAGGGATTTGCAAGAGAGCATCTCGAATCAAAGGACTGGATGGATTGGTGGGAATCAGTTGCACACCCACTTGCCCCGTCATAGTAGAAGAATTAGAAGAAGAAGAAGAAGAATCCTTGGTAGGATATGTTTCATCAAATGCCCTCAAATATTGTCCATGGGTATTCAGAGTGGATAGGTATACACTGTGTACATGACGGCTTCCCACAACACAGAGACCAAGGGACATCCAACGAACAAACCACCGAGCCATTCCATGCTGCTTTTTCTTTCTTGATAGTTTTCGCAGTTTTGGACGAAGACGCTTGGGCATGGTTGTTGAAGCGAATCGTTGCGATGGAGATAAATGTAACGAAGAGATCTATCTTTCTATCTACTGCTTTCGCAGATGAGTGTTGTGGGCCTTGCCATGCAAATGTCCGACCTTTATTGGCATGGCTATGCATACAAGTGTACCACCACTCTCGGAAAGCGACGTCTTTTATCGCCAGAGTGGTCCAAAGAATACATACAACATACAATACATGTCCCGGTACTAGCTAGAGTACCGGTACCACGGTACCCCGACCAGGTACTGGTATCATTTTACTGTACCGGTACCGTACCGCTGAACACACGTGTGCGCGTGTGCATATTTATTTCGCGGCTCGTGACACTCGGGATTGATTCTTCTTCTTTCTCGTGACTGAGAGTGCGTTTTCGCATCGATCTGTTTTCGCTCGTCTTCGTGGCGATGACACTCGCTGCCGCTGCAAATATCCATCCTTTACGTGATAGACAGCATACTGTAGTTCGAGCACCGGTACCGCAGTTAGTGGATAGATACCATAACAAGAGAATGGAAGATAGAGAGGGACAATCACTGCTGAGAGAACCACTCCTCAGTGCTGAAGCGACAGAGAGTGTTGGGATGGCAGAAGAGATTCCAACAAGTTCCGATCAAAATGGTGCCGTCATTGGGCAAGAACAGTTGATGGAAGAGACCGAAACACCATGGTACAAATCACCCCTCCAGTTGATTGCCATGCTTTCCAATTACTCCACAAGCTATAATGTAGTCAACATCTCCATGGTGATTCCCATCCTGGAATTCACTATTGAGGGAACCACGTCGGAGGATGCCGCTGCCAGTGCTTCATCGCTCTTGGCAGGCATGATTGTGGGTCAATTGCTGGGTGGTTATTTGGGAGATTCACCCGTCCTGGGAAGAATGGGGGCTTTGCAGCTCGTCATGGTCTTGCAAGTTATTGCCAGCCTTGGAAGTGCCATGATTTGGAGCAGTCTCAGCAGAGATGCTTTCTTTGTATGGTTGGCCATCTTTAGATTTCTATTGGGTGTGGGTGCTGGAGGTAGGGACAACTTTTGTTTGTTGGTTGTGGGGGCTTTGTTTTATGACACCAATGAGATCAACTCCTTTTTCTTGTATTTTGTCAACAGGGGTATACCCACTGGCTGCGGTTTTAAGCGCAGAACAAGGCAACAGTCAAAATGCAACTTCCACAGAACCGCAACAACAAAGCCCCAAACAGGTGCGACGCGTAGTACTGACATTTAGCACACAGGGATTGGGATTCATCACTGTGCCATTGGTCACGGTTCCCCTCTTGTACATGACAACCAATCTCGATATTGTCTGGAGAGTCATCTTGGCTCTGGGTAGTATTCCCGGCATTATCATGATGGCGGCACAGTTATGGATCCACAAGCAGAATTCACGTCATGAACCAATTCCAACGACAGAACAGGAAGAAAGTCAACCCGAAAATGAAAATTGCAACAATGACCCTCAGGATAATTACGACAATAACCCTCAGGAAAATCAGGACGAAGAAGAAGCAGATCCAACTGTCCAAAATGGTCTGCAAGAAAATAATAATAACAATACGGATGAATCTCCTGATGCTGATGACGGTGCACTGATGCGGGACATTCAAATCATGGAAGAACAGCTTCGTGACAACACGGGGCGCTGGGCTTCTATCCAAGGTGAACCGATGCTGTTTCGAAAATTATTGGGGACTGCAGGGACATGGTTTTTATTTGACGTGCTGTTTTATGGGAATGCTCTCTTCCAACCCATTGTGATCGAGGCCGCATTTGGATCCAGTAGCAAAGGAGGCGATCCTATCATCGAATTGAGGGAAACAGCCATCAATTCCTTGATTTTGACTGCCATTGCCCTCCCTGGTTACGGTGTCGCAGGCTTGGTCATGGGAAGACGGATATGCGGTATACTTCAAACGCCAAAATACATCATGCTACAAGGATTCGCCTTGATGGCCGTTCTCTACTTTGCCATTGGGACCAATTGGTCTGCTTTGAAGCACACGCCAGTGCTTCTCGTATTGCTCTATGGCATGACCTTCTTTGCTGCCAACAATGGACCAAACACGACAACTTTCATCTTGCCTTCAATGGTGTTCTCGCCAGAGTGCAGATCCACATTAAATGGAGTCAGTGCTGCCGCGGGAAAGTTGGGCGCTTTGACTGGAGCCACCCTGTTTGAACCAGTTGCAGAAACCTATGGCGATTCCAATGTCATGCTGATCTGTTCCGGGATTGCCGTCCTTGCTTTCGTCATGACATGGTGGTTTGTGCAAATGCATCCCACCAGTCATCGGCACGAATTATAGACTTACACAAAGGAAATTATTTTGTAGTTTCAAGACAGAGTTCTTGTCACTGTGATTCGTTGTGGTCTTGTGCTTGTAGGACCATCCGCGTCTTTGCTGCTAGAAGTGCGTTTCTTTCGTGATTTGGGAAGCGCAAAATTCGGTGGCGGCACTGTGGCTTCCCCGATGATGCTGTAGCCCAGGCGTGCCAGCGGCTTGGAGTTGGACAAGAGTGCATCCTTGTGGACGAAGATGCATGGAGTTCCAGGTTTCAGCTGTCGCTTCAGTGCTTTCAGAATGTTGAGATTCTGATCCACGTAGTCAATTGTATTCTGCCCCCACGGCAGGTTGGAAACTACACAGTCAATCTTCAACGGCAAGTCTCCTGACTCTTGGACGAGTGGCACTATAGAGCTATCCCTTACACGCACTCGACACCTTGAAGAGACACTATCTTCTCCAAAGCAGTATCCAAGGTTTTGCTTCGTTCCTTGTACACACTGCGGGTTGACATCCCACCCTTCGACGTGGACTCTTCGTCTCCCGGAAGCCAGAGCAAAGGCCAGGAAGGTACCGCTACCACACGTTGGATCGAGGATACGAATAGCGCCGTCCGGTTCCACCGGGTGTTCGACTAGATCAAACAACATTTCAATGACGATCTCAGCCACCACGGGGTGAATGGCAGAACTGTACTGGAAAGGCCTCTTGCTCCAGCAGGACAGGTGAGCAGTACCGGTAGGAGAGCCAGAACGTGAAATGATGCGACCCATGTATATGCCATGGTGCAGTGTCTCGATAGCAACTAGTTGTTCGGATGCACAGCTGGCATCCAACGATGCCGGGGCTCGAATGTTTTGAGCAATTGCACAGAGGAGCGGCTTCAAAGTGTATCCCAGCTTGGGAATGTCGTTTGCCGAGCCCTCTTTATCAACCATTCGGATGTAATCGATGGCCCAACCTGTGCAATTTTCTATTGCGATTCCTTTTCCATTGTTGTGTTCTTGCAATGATTTGACCAAATTGCTGGCATTTGATCCAAAAGCAATGACCTCTGCTATCCATTCGCACCGTGCCAAGCTAGGTGGAAGAGTGTCGTCCACTTCAACTTTATTCTTTTCAGAAGATTGCTGTGGCAAGAGGTCGTATACCGTTGCTGGATTCCTGGAATCAAAATTCAGTTGTAGAAGTGTCGATCCCGTGGCGGCATCCAACACAAGCCTCTCGCATTCATATTGGCAGTTGGTTGCATCCAGTTGGGCTTGCAGAAGCTGCAAGTCGGCAAATTTAAAGGTCTCTTGGGTCTTTGCCAGGTAGAATCGATGATTGTTTTCCGAGATTCTCAGGACAATCGCATTGGCACAGAGCTGGTGGAACAGGGATATCAACAATAGTACAACCACTGTGGACGCCTTCGCCATCCTTGTTCTGTCAATTTTGCCCCTGAGGTCTTCTGTGCATGTGGTATCCAACCCACCAAATGCTACCGGTACCGGTACCGGTACGGTATGGTCTTTATCTCGCCCCCGATGCTCTACCGGTACCTCCCAGGTGGAACTGAGAATCGAAATAGGGATGAAGAGAAAACGTTACGACTGATCACCGGAAACGTAGAGACCTTGAGACTTTTCGAGCAGAAAATGCAGCCATCACAGCCATCCCCTACTACTAGCTAGTACCGGTATGAGCCATGGCTTTATTGTCCGCATCTTTGGCAAGAGGGCAGAAGTATTGTTGTAGATTTAACATCAATATTATTAATGTATCTTCAGATACCGCCATAAATCTTCAAACCTCGACTGGTGTTTCCCGCTTCCGCGCAACGACGCGCGCCCAAGATCGAAGCCCTTCGAGAGCAATCGAGAGATCTTTTTGTGGTTCCTACCACCACATCGGGTCTTCGCGACGAACCGACCGCTCCTGTTGTTTGTTGCCGTTGGATTCGGTCATCGTCCACAACCAACAGCACAGCATATCTTTTGTACATTGGCATTGGCATCTTCTGCCTCGCCTGATACCCCAAGCAAGGAGGTTAAGTCGTACAGACAAGAAGGTAGCAAGCAAGACAAAACAGAAGGCATTATCCTGGTTCTGCTCATATTATCTGTATCGGATTGATCACGAAAAAGTCCAAGTGAAGATGGCGTTTCCACCCCCGCCTCCAGGACAGTTCCCTGGATCCGGCTTTGCGCCACCACCGCCACCTCAAGGCCAAGGCTTTGCTCCGCCTCCGCCGCCCCCAGGACAAGGACAAGGATTTGCTCCACCCCCTCCTGGTGGACAAGGATTCGCCCCGCCCCCACCAGGTGGCCAAGGTTTCGCTCCACCCCCACCTGGACAAGGATTTGGTCAGGGGCAACCCCAGCCGTGAGTGTGCAGCTTGTTTGTTGGGCTTTTGGGTTTGTTGTGAAAGTCAAGATTCATGTGATTTGTTTGGTTTGAGAGACCGCCTTATTGGTTGGAAAACGAGAGAATTCTAGCTTTTAGTGGACTCACTCTTAGCTCGTTCTTGGGAACTGGGTTGTTACCTGGCTGTGTTGTGGTTGTGTATCTGGATTGTGTGGGAATGCATTGCTCTTTGTGGTTTTGTCTGTCTCGTATTATCTGTGTGCTCTGAACTCGGCTAACTTTGTTACTCTTTGATTATTCTTTCATAGTCCTCGACCAGGTGGTGGTTTTGCGCCGTAAGTGATGAATTAGTTGGTTTGGATGTATTTTGTGTTTGCTGCTATGATCAGGTTCTTGTCATTTGCTTTGCTCCGCTCACTTTTCAATTACTTATTTTTTACCTATGCATCAATTAAAAAAGACCACCTCCCGGTGGTGGTTTTGCCCCTCCTCCCCCGCCAAATCCTGGAATGCATCAGTTGAACCAGGGCATGTCGAACATGTCCATGCAACCGCCTCCACCTGCCCCAGGGGCTGGGTTTGGATCATCTCAACCGTAAGTGGCTGATCAAACTGTATAGTCGTGGGAACTAGTCTTTGTTGACTCACGGCATGATATTTGTTCCATTCTTGCAATCACTTGAATAGCCCGCCACCACCCGGTGGAGTTGGTTTTGCGCCGCCACCAGGTGGAGGATTTCAGCAACCTCCTGGACCTGGAATGCAACAACCACCCCCACCAGGTCATGGCGCGTCTTCGTTCTATCCACAGCCAACTGCTCCGGGACCTCCCCAGGGTCCCCCTCAGCCTGGAATGCAACCAGCACCACCAGGTCCAGGGGGAGCTGCAGCAGCTCCCCAAGCCGACGCAGCCATGATCAATCAAAATATTGATTTCAGTGTCAAGATTCCAGACAATTTGATCAAGTTCACGGCAAACAAAGTTGCCCAGACGGCTCAGCTGGCTGCTGGGACAAAGATCCCATTCGGTGCAGTGATGCGTCCATTGGCCCCGGAAGGAGAAGATGACGAGCACATTGAAACCGTCCAACCAGGAAATGCGGGAATTATTCGTTGTAAGAGGTGTCGTACTTACATCAATGCATTTGTCTCGTGGTCCGAGCATGGGCGGCGATGGCGTTGTAATATTTGCGGTCAAATCAACGACTGTGCAGCAGCCTACTTTTGCCACTTGGATGAGCAAGGTTTGAGAAGGGATCGATTCGAACGCCCTGAGCTGTCCAAGGCCGTCGTTGAATTCATTGCTCCAGCCGAGTACATGGTCCGACCTCCCCAGGAACCATCTTACTTCTTCGTCATTGATGTGAGTGCGACAGCTGTCCGGAGTGGAATGGTGCATTCGACAGCCAAGGCTATCAAAGAAAGTTTGGATGATCTCCCGGGACGGGGGAGAACCAAAATTGGATTCATCACGTTCGACAATGCTGTGCATTACTACAACTTGGCTTCCGAACTCAGCGCTCCACAAATGATGGTTGTCGCAGATTTGAAAGAGCTGTTCGTGCCACTTCCCGATCATCTTCTGGTGAATCTGCAAGAATCACGATCGGTTGTAGATCAGTTCTTGGACAGTCTTCCGGAAATGTTTGTCAAGAATCCTGTTGTCTCGCAGTCATGCCTTGGGCCGGCCCTGAAAGCTGGTTTCACCGTCATGAAGAATATCGGCGGAAAGTTGTGTGTTTTCCAGTCAATCATGCCAAATCTCGGGGACGGCGCACTGAAAAACCGAGAGAACAGACCTCTCATGGGTACTCCGAATGAAGTCAAACTGCTTCGTCCCGAGGTTACCTGGTACAAAGACACAGCAGTGGAGTTCAGCAGACAGCAAATCAGCGTGGACATGTTCCTTTTCCCTTATCAGTACATGGATCTGGCGGCGATGGCGGAGTTGCCAAAATACACTGCTGGTTCAGTGCATTCTTATGTTTCCTTTAACCACAAAAAGGATGGACCGCGATACGAGCAAACGCTGAACAAAGTGTTGACTCAGACCACAGCCTTTGAAGCTGTGATGCGAGTTCGTTGTACCAAGGGGATGCGAATCAGCAACTTTTACGGAAATTTCTACATTCGGGGAACGGATCTCTTGGCGCTGCCCAACTGCAACACGGACTCAGTTTTTGGCTTCGATTTGGCTCACGACGAACAAAATGTGGCCAGCAACCATGTAACTCTTCAAGCTGCTCTGTTGTACACCAGCAGCGAAGGACAGCGTCGTATTCGCGTCATGACCCAAGTTCTGCCCGTAACCAACCGAAGCACCGAATTGATGGCCTCGGTGGATACAGATGCTGTGTGCAATCTACTTTCGAAGCAGGCAGTGGAGGTTGCCATCAAGACTAGTTTGGATAATGCTCGTATGAGGCTGCAACAAACTTGTGTCGACATGATTCGGAACAGCAAGGAAGGGGACAAGCGAACGGTTTCTGGCTACACTGTTCCGCCTCCCCAGGGGCACCACGGAGGACAAGAAGCAGAAGAAAAGCCCATTCCCGAGCACATGCAATTGTTGCCTCTCTACATCTTGGCAATGATGAAAAATGTTGCATTTCGCGGTGGCACTGATGTGCACCCTGACGAACGAATCCAGGCCCATCGGCAGATGGTTGCGATGTGGGTTACTCAATCAAAGAATTTCATCTACCCTCGTCTCTTTTCAATTCACGATATGGATGACAATGTTGGCTATTCCGTGGAAGATCTTCCTGATGGCGGCGGTGATGATCCTCCTGTCGCGGGTCGCAACAGAATTTTGTTGCCTCCAGTGGTCAATCTGAGTGTTGAAAGGCTTACGAGCAATGGAGTATATCTTCTTGACAACGGCATTGACATGTATCTTTGGATCGGGCGTGCTGTTGATTTGAATGTTCTTGGCTCGCTCTTTGGTGTGCAATCACTTGAGGACTGTGACCCTGCTCAGGTATGCAGTTGTATTTGAGTGTTCGATGCCATGCCTGAATGAACGTCATCTGAACTTTTCTTTTCGCCTCTGTTCCTTTCAGATCGAAGTCCTGACTAGTGGCGATCCGTTGGCTTCTCGCTTTGGAGCGATTATTGATGCCTTGCGGGATGACGGTGACCAGTTTGTGATCAGTCCAAAGATTCATATCTGCCGAGAGGGTGATCAACATATGGAATCTCGCTTCTTCTGGTTCTTTGTGGAGGACAGAGCTTCCTTCCAGGGTGGTACCTTTAGCTACGCTGATTTCATGCAGTTTGTTAACAACCCCAATCAGCCAGGAGGAGGAGGGGCGCCGGCGGCTCCTCGTGGTCCGATGCCCCCTGCGCCTGGAGGTCCTGGTCCTCAACGAGGGATGCAACCACCGATGCCCGGCCAACCTGGACCTCCGGCACCGGGGATGCAAAGAGGGATGCCACCCGGTCCGCCGATG